CTACCACGTTTTAAGATATGCGACAGTTTCAAAAGCAAACTAAGCTAGCCAATCAGATGTTAGCTAAATATTAAGTTATTCTCAGACTGTACTGTACATGTATACTATAATAAAATATTAACACCTCACAACACCAAATTTAATAAGTTGATTCAATACAAAACACTGTGCCATCAGGCATATCGGAGAAAGTTTGTCAATCTTATACAAATCTTTAAAAATTACATATACATGTATAACAAAGTTGAAAACAAAAATACAGATTAACCCTTAGAGTGCCAAATTTTTTTTCCAACTTAAATTGGTTCACATTTTCTGTAATTTTTACTGAATTCAATCTTAATTTTTGACCAAATAGACAAAATGTGACATTGTTTTTAGTTTTGATAAAAAGATTTTGAATTTTTCACAACATTTTATGCAGAAAAGTGCAGACTGTATTTGAAACTATTTTGTGAATGGTGCCTGATGTTGGCTTTGGTGCTCAAAGGTTAGTGATATGCAAATTACCTTTAATATGTGCAGACGGTATATAGAACTATTTAGTGAATGGTGCCTGAAGTTGGCTTTGGTGCTCAAAGTTTTAAAGGTTTAATTCATATTACAGATAAAGGGTTTATTGAATTGAACCTAAACAGGTACATTTATATAGCCTCATAACATCATACCACGGTAATCTTGTCCATATTGTTGTTTTACTTGTATTTTTTTAAGACTTGTATAATATTGACAGAGCTTTCGCGAAAACATGTATGTCTTATTGCATGTTATCGAAATAGTATTATTATTGCCAATGGCCTATTTTCATTTTATTTTATTTTCACTACCACTACATTTTGCAAAAAACGTATGGAACATTTAAAACCCCTGGTAAATTCTTGTGTTACATTCAAATCAGAAGATGTTTTAAGTTGACTAAAGAATCCTTTTGTATTTTTGTCTATTTATTACCCATGAGTCTCCTTGATCATTTACGCAGAATAAGTAGATATCTCATCAAATGCATTCAATCCCCTTTCAAGTAACCTTCCACAGATTTATACTATGAAGAACACAGGTAGTGTAATTGTCACAATTGTTTTGCACAGAATTTTTTATATCATATTCTTTTTCCGTTAGCAGGGAAATCATCATGATGGCAGCACTGACCATTGTGATAATTATTGTGATTGGTCAATGTGCTTTTCACTGTCATTCGAAATCTTAACACTAAACATTTACATATTTCTATTGTGTTAGTACTGAGTAACATTAGACACAATATATCCCTTATGTTCATAATGAAATAAATTCCAAATGTATATTACTGATTCCTAAATCAGCTCTTATCCACCAATCAGATCACAGGATTGAAACCTGTATTTTCCTTGTACATTCATCTAGATTCATTCAATAGCTATTATTATTTGGAATAGATTAAACTTACTTTTAAGCAATCTTTACTGATGATGAAATAGTTGACATGCCTTAAACTGGTTATAAAATTACACGCCCCCTTATTCTGGTTTAAACTGGTTATAAAATGACACGCCCCCTTATTCTGGTTTATGTCCACAATCCACTTATCTTACGACT